ATGCGGAGATCTATTGATTGATGGATCATGAGTCAGCGTGCCATTAAACTTAGGTCGTTTTTGCGTAGAGTCTAGTGTCATGGTTTTGTGGTTATGGTCCACTTTTTCAAGTATTTGGCTACGTTCCTAGAAATGTGATCTATGTATTGGTCGGTCAGTGAGGCGTATAGGATTGAGTTTCTCCTTTAGCTTTTATTGGTAGTCATTTTGATGAACCGAGTAATCAAATACTCAGTCGACGAATTATTGTTGATCGATTGAGTAATTGATTGGTTTGCAATCGGCGGCTCGATGAGTATTTTGCGTAAGCAATTAAGTAAAATGGTGGTGACGTGTGTGCGCATTGAGGGGGGTAACTTTTTTTTTTTTTTTTTTAATCAGTTGCGCATGGTGAAATACGAGGAGGAAAGGGGAGTATTGCGGAACGAAACGAAATTTATTAATTGTATTGCAAACCAATTAATAGAATCAAGCGGCAATCGATTTGATAAGAAGATAAGCAAAACAATTTATATCTCCGAAGGGTGAGCGGATTCATCATTCTTACTTTGAGCACACGCAGGCAAGAATATGCACAGTCTCTGTTTCCGTTTGCTATGAATGTCTATGACATTCTGTAGGTGAAGATGAAATGCAAAATTAATGGATGCTTAAGAAATATGATTCACAAAAATATGTCTTACTTGAGCCCATTTTCTAGTAGTCAGTTATCACTCTCGTTTTTTAAAGAGGTGTTTTTTCACCTTCATCTAACCTGACCAGTTGTTCTTTTTCCATTCCCCTCTGGCTTAGAATCATGTACTAATTAGCTTATTCACATATCCTTTCACACTTATTCATGTAATGAATGACAGGGGTGTCCGTGATCCCCAGTCATCATTATTAAAATCTATTAATTGTACTTGGGGGAAGGAAAGTTGAGGGGAAAGAAGAGCGAAAAGGAAGGAGGAAGTAGATGAAAAGGACGAGAAGAAACAAGACGATGATGCAGAGGAGAAAAATGTAGTCTAAGCCTATGAAAATACGATGGCTTCTCCTTGATCTGCTTACCTTCGAAATAGAAGGGTTGGAGGGAGTGAGAGAAGGAGTATGGGGGGTTGGTTGGGGGTGTTGGGGAACTAAAAGAAGTTGATGAACCGGTATCGGCCTATTTGGAGGAGGAGAATCGGAGTCTCAGGCATAGTCGGAGGATATGTGGTGAACCCTTCTTCTTCTACTTGGGGCGTCTTCAACCTTCCTCTTCAACGACATCGTGATCTTCCTGGTTGATGAAGGTGAAAACGTGGGTTGCATCTTGGAGCTTCACAATGAAGCGTGGGAGCGCCGACTGCGACAAATAGATTGCCTCCCTTGGGATATGAGGCGCAAGTTGGTACTCTATTGAAGATCCGTAGGCTTTATCAGCGAGTTCTCTGAACCAGGGCCCTGGTCTCGATTGGACCAGTTGGTGAAGGAGGAGATGGGAGGTATCTCCCTTGGCTAGCTGGTTGAAGAAGCCTTTGAAGAAGAAGGCCAGAGGAGTGATAAAGCTTGGTAATCTCTCGAGAGAAGGAAGATTCTCTGCTAGGCTGAGGAGTCCACCGTTAACCCAGATTCTCGAACTTGAAGAGTCGACCCTTGCTGATGCTAGGCAGAGCAGTAGAAGGGAATGTGCAGATCGTGGTCGTGCTGCACCTTATATTGTGCCAGGTTTGTGCTTGCTCTTGCTTGCTCTAGGGTGGTGAGGGAATCGAGGGTGTGGGTTCTGACAGACATTAAAGAGAGGAGAAGGTTGAAATAAAAGAAATGTGCGAGTAGCTCCATCGCCTGGTCCCTTTTGAGAAAAAAGAAGGACCGAGCGCCATTTTTGAAGGTGCTGAAAGCAGTTTTCTCCACAAATTCGAGAAGGTCAAAGGTGGCAAGATTAAAGTCAAACCTGCGTTCTACGAAAGTAGATTGCAGAGAGGTGATGGCGTTAGGAATGATGAAAGGGAGACATAAAATGTGAAGAGGGAGGAGCAAGGCGGATGGGGGGTCTACAACGAAGATGCGTTGTATATTTTCGTATGCGGCTATGAGAGGTAAGTTATGGAGGAGCGGAGATGAGTGACGAGTGAAGAGAAAATGGTTGTTAATTGTGCGTCTGGGATAGGGTCCAGGGATTGAACTGTGAGGTTGGAAGAAAGAATGAAAGGAGAAAGGGGTCGAAAAGTGGGGTGTTGTCGGTGTACAGAGAACGAAAGGATGAGGACGATGACGGGGAGGCTGATGCGGCATTGCGAGGTTGAGTGACGAGATTAGAGAGTGGGGCTGGTAGCTCTCCGATTCTACAAACGGACAGGTTCATGGTGGAGAGGGTGAGATGGTGGGAACTGACTTACCGGGACAGGTGTGGACTGACTGCAGATACTGACCAGAAAGGGGCGCTAACTTGACAGACTGGACGAGGATGGTGGCTGAACAACCTTGACTTGCCGTCAAAACTTGAAGGACTTCGACTCGATTTGACTGGCGCAGTGGCGACGGTGTCCGAACGACCTTGACTTGATGACGAAGAGACGCAGAATTGCGACCCGAGAGTCCTCTGACCAAATCAAGGCGAGGAAAAAAGACTCGACCTCTGAAAGACCTGACCCTTGTGTGGCCTGCGCGCAGGTTTGCGTTTGGGATGAATGCTGCGGGCGGGGGGGGGCCTGGAGGGCGCAGCTGGAGAAAGGCCGCGGGCTATCGTGGCTGGGCAGACGCCTGTGACTTATACAGTCACAGGTCAAGGCAGTGGGAGCGGACGGGCCAGTGAGGCTGTACTCCTGCCAGGGTGAGTGTCACGTCAAACCTCCTATGGGACCGTAGATGCTGAATTGAATTTATCCGCTGTTGATTTAGAAAGCTGAAGTGTCCGGTTGTCTTGTTGTCCTTAGATGTAGTAGATCTGCGGTTTGGACATGAGGTCCTGAATGGTGGTGTCCCGGTACTGGTTCCCAACGGTAAGTCGTTGCTGGTTGTTGTTGCGCTTCGAGGATTGTATGTTTGTTAGATCTGTCCCATCAACCTTGCATGCAACAAGGTGCGGAGTTACTGGCATAATGTGTAACCAGTGCTTGACTGGTCGACCCAGGCTGGGGATTCTGGGGATTCTCCCCTCCGGAGCTCGACCGGCCGCCGTCCGTGTGTAAACAAACCTGTGGCACACACAGATGATACCAAGTGGCCAGGGGCTAGGTCCCACTTACTCGAATTAAGCGATATTGACCGTAGATAACAAAGATCAATGGCCAGAATCTCTTAATCCGTGCAAGTGGGACCTTGCCCCCGGTCACACGTGAGAAGGGGCCTTTTTAGCGCCTCAATCTGGCAAAGCGGGCTCACACACTCTCGATTTTCCCGAGGTGTGTGGGCCTGCATCCCCATTTTGTGATCAATTCTCGGACTGTCTTTTCATCATCTATCTAGGGTGTTTCATTTTCCACTTCTATCTGGGTTGGTCTTGGTTAGGTTCCACTTACCCGGTCCTGTGCTTCTGGCCGTCGATCCTCGTAATCTGCAGTCGAGAATGAAGAATCCAGGCAAGTGGGACCGGGGTACCTTCTGACTGACATGGCCAGTTTGGAGAATTCGAGAGCCAGCCGGTTGCCTCACCACCCTTACACTGGAAAGTTTGAGAGAGAGAGAGAGAGAGAGAGAGAGAGAGAGAGAGAGAGAACGGGGCTTGATAGGTAAATGCCATAGCTCGACGCCCCGCTTGCCGCCTGGCCACGCAACGAGCAGGCGGGCCGGCCAGCCAGTCAGTCATCCAGCCACGTCCGGATGCGCTTGTTGACGACAAACAGAAGCAGAAGCTTTTTTTTTTTTTTTTTTTTTTTCATGAAGCAGAAGCATCATTGAGGTGGTCCATGACTACATTCATGATTATTATCAGAAATTGAAAAAAAAAAAAAGGATAAAACAAGACCGACGTTGCCTGATTGAACTGGCCCAGCTGCTCGTTAGAAAGTCTTCTGTTTCAAAAAAAAAAAAAAAAGAAGTCTCTTGTTTTTTTTGTTTGCAAAGTGGTCTGGGTCCCGATCTCGATTGCGATCTCCTCCGGGATCCGGGCTGTGTCAATGCGCGAGAAGACCGACCTCCGGAATTGCAGAGCAAGGACGAAGCCAGCTCGCGCGGGCGGGGCGGGGAACGCGGGCGCGCGCGCGCGCGCGGGCGTTGGTGGAGGTCTGCCGTTATCTGGCGCATCAGACGAGTTAGGACGACTAATTGCTACCTAGGGAGGGGTACATGCCACGTGGGTGGTTGCCGCCACTTGGCGAGAGCTGACATTATCTCTCTACGAAAGATTGAGTCCAGAGTTAAATTAGATTAGAATTGTGTGTGATTGCCTGGTCATCATTTTCCCCTTCTGTGCCAATCAGATCTCCCTTCTCGCTTGTGACCGTAGGGAGAATTCGGACCATGCAGCCACCCCGAAGCGCTGCTGAGTTCTTGACACAGTCCCACCAAGCCGCCGCCCAAGTGCCTCCCAATTGCCACCCAATTTGCTGGCCAATTCCCGCCCAGTTGCCGCACAATAGCAGTTCAACTGCAGCCCAATTGCCGCTGCTCCCACAAAGTGTTGGTAGGAGCGGAGCTGTGGGGAATGCAGACAGGAGATTGCGTTGATAGGAGATGCTTTGCATTGGGTAGTGGGGAGGGGAAGCGGAGGAGGAGGAAGAGGAGGAGAGGAGGAGGAAAAAGAGGAAGAAGAAGAGAATTATAAAGGGTTTCGTGGTGAGCAATCGACCACGATTATGGCGGCTGCTCTGCTGTGCACTCTGTCGGCTGATCGATATCAATTGCTTGTGTGCATGGGGTAGAAAACACACACACACACAGACACACACACACACACACACACACAGAGAGAGAGAGAGAGAGAGAGAGAGAGAGAGAGAGAGAGAGAGAGAGAGAGAGAGAGNGAGAGAGAGAGAGAGAGAGAGAGAGAGAGAGAGTGGTGACGGAGTAGATTCGATGGCGTTGAAGAGCGATCCTGGGCGATCATCGAGGGTTAATGTCAGCAATATAGAGGTTGTCGGTTAAAGAAAAAAAAAAAAAACCTTTGTCGGTTTTCTCTGAGCTTGCTGGCCGGGATCGGATGCATACCGGTAAGTAGGGTCCTCTGAGAATTTGGCGGGAAAAAAAATACTGCAGTGATTGGGGCTGGTTTGGCGGGAAGAGTTAGTGATTGGGATCGGTGAGTAGTCGTCGGTATTGGAAGAAGGATTGTGTGCGATTACGGGCCACGTGTGCAGCACAGTTGTCAGGCAGGAAGGATGGCCGCGTTTGCGGCGGTCAATGGAGCGACGACGGCTGGTCTCGATCCCGACGTCGGTCGATTGTGCGCGTTATGTAGCGGTGCCACGTGTCGGTCGGACAGAAGCGGCAGTTTTTTCCCTGCAAGGAGGCGCAGCGGAAGCGGGAACAGCGCCGGCGGCGGCGGCAAACGACAGACCTCCACAAATGCTTCGTCTCTTGGGAGAAGGGAGGGGGTGATTCTTAACTCCCCCTTTTTGCGTCGGGGCGGCTTGAAGAATGGGGACGGCACTTCTCCTGCGGCTCTCCTCTCCTCAATTCTGCTGACGTGGCAATGCCGTAGTCGTCGTGGGAGCCTCACAAAATTGGCGGGAAACGACAAAAGGATGATGATGACGGAGTCTTCTCCCGTCAGATCAGCCTCACAAAATTGGCGGGAAGAGACGAAGGGATCCACCTCTGAAACTTGGCGGGAAGAGACAAGGGGGTCAACCTCACAAACGGTCAGCAAGAGGGGGGAGGAGGTGAAATGTGGATGCGGAGTGGAAAAAATTGGCGGGAACGACAGGGAATCTGGGCAATTGCGATCAGGACACGTGTCAAGAAGAACACAGGAGGAAGATTCTCCGTCCCGCCAATCTACTACTTACGAGCAGCGCGGGAAATTAACGCGGGAAAGAGAGAGAGCAGAGAGCGGGGAAGCAACGGAGGACCGGCGAGGGGAAGTAGCCACTAGCAATGCTGCCACGTGGCGTGTGCTCAACGGTGGTGATGACACGTGGCGCCCTCGCCGGACGATTTCCTTCCATCGGAGATTGGATAGAGCTACCCCTGCAGCTTTGGCGTCGATCTCTTCGTCCATCTCTTCTTCTTCGCCCGTTGAGGAATTGGCGGGAAGAGAGGAGAACGACGAGGTGATGAACGTTCGGAGATCATTCGAAGAGTGGTGCATGAGAGAGCTGGAAATGGCCAAAAGAGAGGGGAACCGGAAGAGAGAAAGGGCGATCAGCGAGAAGAGGGCAGCGATGATGCGCGCGAGGATCGACAGCTGGTTTAGGAAACTTAGGGGGCGAGTGAAGCCGGGAGAGGTGGAAAATCCAATACCGGATAATGCTATCACTTTCGCCCAATTTAAGGAACTGCTCAGGCTGCAGGCCGTCAATCACATTCAGTATGGCGATCAGGGACGGAAGCTCGCAGGTAAGCGTACACTTTTCTCCCTCTCTCTCTCTCTGTGTCCCTCTGCTCTGTTTCTCTCTCTCTCTCTCTCTCTCTCTCTCTCTCTCTCTCTCTCTCTGTCTGTTTCTCTGTCCCTACCTGTCTGTCTCTTTCTCTCTCATGGCGCTGTGTGTGTGTGTGTGTGTGTGTGTTCTCTCTGTGTGTATGAGCATCAGGAAGGCGAATGGGCAAATGACCTTGAATAAGGTAATGCAATATGTGCATAGTTGTGTGTGTGTGTGTGTGTGTGTGTGTGTGTGTGTGTGAGTTACAAAATGGGATGGTTAAGAACGACTGTAGTAGAAGAGAAGAGGGAGAGGAGAGGGAGGGGAAGGAAGAGGGAGTAGGAAAAGGAGGAACAGGAGACGAGGTAATTAACGCGAGCGAGCAAGCGAGCGAGCGAGCGAGCGAGAGAGAGAGAGAGAGAGAGAGAGAGAGAGAGAGAGAGAGAGAGAGAGAGAGAGAGAGAGAGAGAGAGGGCAGAGAGAGCAGAGGAGAAGAGAAGAGAATAGAAGAAGAGAATAGGAAGCGTAAGGAAGAGGAGAAGGAGATCTGCCTCGTCATTTTACAAAAAATGTGCTCCCCATGTCCTTCCTTTCTTCTTTTCTTTTTGGATTTGTGTTCTCGTCTCTCTATAATCACTGACTTGTTCAGCTGGTTTTCTAATATTCTTACATCTCTTCCTGCCCGTCCCCGCGCTCCCCCTCCCCCCCCCCGCCCCCCCTCTCTCCCCTCCCCGCGCCCATTTCTCCAAACCTCCCAAAACCCTGCGAGCAGACAGTCACACACACACACACACACACACACACACACACACACATCTAAAGAGAGCAAACACACAGATACTCACAGATACATACACACAGAGGTACAAAGCAAACACACACACACACACACGCACACATACAATTGACATTCACACCACTCGAACCCCTTTTTTTTACTCCCCACCTGTGTCATTTTTTAATCCTCAGCGGGAGGGGACACGAGTCTTCCGTCGATTATCACCCCATCTCCTCTTCTTCTCTTCTAACCACGTCATTTTGTAGCCCCCCTTTTTGCCCCCTTGTCGAACAGATCAGGAGGGAATCAGATGGATATGGTGACGGCAGGGCCTGTCTATTTTTGAAAAACAAAAAAAAAGAAGAAAAAGAACTCGCTGCTTCATTTTTTTCTGTAATACCGTAATTCCAATGACGGAGGAGAATAGATTAACCCCTCCAATCTAATCCAGTCCAATCCAATCCAATCCAATCCAATCTATCAATCTGTAAGCAAATCATATCTAATCAAGTGCACGTCTACCCAAGTATATCAATGCAATAATCATTAACCAGTTCCAATCAGTGAATCGATCCAATTACTCAATCCAATCAAATCCAACTATTATTCAATCCAATCAAATCCAATTACTCAATCCAATCAAACCCAATTATTCAATCCAATCAAATCCAATTACTCAACCCAATCAAATCCAATTACTCAATCCAATCAAATCCAATTAATCCAATTACTCAATCCAATCAAATCCAATTACTCAATCCAATCAAATCCAATTAGTTCCAATTACTCAATCCAATCACATCCAATTACTCAATCCAATCAATGAAATCCAGTCACTCAATGCATTCCAATCCAATTCAATTCAAATCTCTAATCCAGTCCCTCCCACAAGGGAGGGGAGTGAGGGGGAATTAGAAACAGAAAAAGAAATAAAGCAGCTGTTGCTCATGAAAGTAGAAATCTGGAATATTGTTAATGCCTGTCTGGTTGGACACGTGTCCATCGGCGGCAGGTCTCAGATGGCAAGATTTTTGACATGTCCACCGCCGTTAATCATCGTCTGACGTGGCTGTTTTGGCGGGAAATCATGATTAGAGGAGAAGCCTGAAGACGGCGCGCTTATCCACACTCTTGTGTGTCTTCAATGCTTGGAGAGCACGTTACAGACGCCGCACGCTTATATTTTCACTCCCTCTCTCTCTCTCTCTCTTTCTCTCTGTCTCTCTCTGTCTCTCTCTCGTTTCCACCATCTGCCCTTCACGACATCTGTCTCCTTCCTTTCTTATCTCCTTTCCTTTGCTGCCTTTAGCTGCCTTTGCAGAATGTCAAGGTTATGGAAAATCTCTCTCTCTCTCTCTCTCCTCTCTCTCTCTCTCCCCCTCCCTCCCTCTCTCTCTCTCCCTCTCTCTCTCTCCCTTCGTTCTTTTCTATTCCCACCCCCCTTTTCCCATGTCCCCCCTCCTACCACCCCATCCATCTTCTTCTTTTTAGACTCTTTTTGTTTGCCTTTAGGTGCCTTGCAGAATCTCAGGATAGGTAAATGTCTCTCTCTCTCTCACACTCTCTCTCTCTCTCTCGCTCTCTCTCTCTCTCTCTCTCTCACTCTCCCCCTCTCTCTCTCTCTCTCGCTCTCTCTTCCCCTTTCCCCCACTCCCCTTCCCCTTTCCCCCTTTCCCCGCCCCTCTCGTTTCTTGCTCTCTGTTTCCTTTCGTTTGCTGTAGGGATCTCAAGGAAAGGGTAAAAGTTTTATAAACAAGAAGACCACCTCTACTTAGTCTAGGGAAGAGCAAAGTCAGATTCCTCCTCCTCCTTTTTGCATTTTTGGACCGGCTGAGGTTTCGCGGTTTGAATTTTGTCGGATTGTCCTTTTGCCTTTCTGTCTCTGTGTCCGCATCGCATTTTTTTTTTTGGTTAATTGATTGCATGCATGTGTGCGGATCGCGTTGTGTTCTGACTGGTTGCGTAAGTAAGAACGGATGGCATCATTTCGCTTTTTGACCTCGAGTGCAGTTTGACCGGAGTGCAGTTTTGACTGATTTCATGTTGACCTCGAGTGCACTCTTTTAATCAAATCGCCAGTGCTGGGCGTCTCTAACGCGGAGTGAAATGCAGGCTTGGGCGCGCCTGAAGGCACGAATGAATCTCTCGCCGAAAGCCACAAGTACATAGTCCGATCGACTTAATTTTGATTGAAATGCATGCTCTTATCGACTTCATTTTGATTGAAATGCATGCTTGGAGGCGCCTTTAGGAGTGAATATGTCGCCCAAAGCCACAGGTAAATAGGCTGATCGAGTGCAGTTTGACCAAATGCAGTTTGACCGATTGCATTTGACTGATCCGATTGCAGTTTTGACCCATCACATTTGACTGAAAGCAGTTTGACTGATGTCAACTCGACTGGCTACATTTTTTTTGGCTGGTAATCGATGTACCTGGACCTCTGGAAACGGTTTCGTACAGGAGGTATTCGTTTTTTTGTAAATGCGTTCTATTTATAGAAGAAGGAAGGTGTTTGCTTGCCATGCATGCGTGCATGGGCTCTTACGGGTTATATCTGCTGATGGGATGAGAAGGGTGATTGTGTCAATCAAAGGCCCAACAGGAGGCTTTTTTTTTTTAATTCCAATCAATGAATGCCCAGTTTAATCAGTTCCGCACGACTCATACTGGATCCAAAAGTCGTTTTCTTTTTGACGTCTACAAAAAGCTGCTGCTTTTTGCGCGGACAGGGCAGAGGAGCGCAGTGAAGGGCAGACACACACACACACACACACACAGAGAGAGAGAGAGAGAGAGAGAGAGAGAGAGAGAGAGAGAGAGAGAGAGAGAGAGAGAGAGAGAGAGAGA